AATCCTCCTAACTCTCAGCCTCATTAATTCCTCTTTCCAGCATTTTCAGATCTCACCGCCAAAGTCTTGCTTTTCAAGACCTGGGGCTCAATTATGGCTTCCTGGAGCCTAGCAGGGGATGTGAAACCAACACTTTGGCTCTTGGTTACCATCAGATGTGATTGCTGCTCTCTGCATGGTGGGGTGGGAATAGTGGAAGCACCAGGAGAACAAGTATTGGTGAACATCTGAGGGTCATGGAGAGAAATAGTGCACAGAGCCCTGGCAACTACACCCACCCCATTGACACAGGAGGTTAAGTGGGAAGACCCGTGGAAGGATCCTAAAGAGTGTCCAGCCCCGGGGGAGGACCCCAGTCTCCTCCTGGTTCTAGGAGAAGCATGTGGCTCCTTATGTAACCCAGCTCTGGGATGGGAGGCCACCTCCTTTGGTGACTGGCCTTCGGTTCAGCCAATGCCAGTGCACCTCAAAGGTTCCAGGACCCATGCCTCCCGTAATGGAGGAGCCCACTGAATGTTGAGAGTCTCATGTCACCTCCAGCTCTGGGCTCCTGAACCACCTTCATGAAGACAAGGAAAAACATATGTGTGTAGTGGGGGATTGGGATGTCATGAAACCTCTGGCCTTGACTCTTGGTGTTTTCTCTTGAGAACACGGTAGTTACCTGTGTACTTTGCTTTCTGATGTTTTGAGAGAAAGAATCAAGAAGAGTGTTTTCCCTGTGTAATCCTCACTTCTATAGTTTTGAAGGGGTATTCTCCTTCAGCCCCTTGTCACAGAACAGTGTTCATCTTCTACCATGCAGGTGGCCATAAAGTTAAGAAGTAGAGCTTCGTATCCTGGGTCAGAGCCCAGATCCACTTGGACAAGTCACCAAAACTTCTCTGACTCTCAGTTCCCCCAATTATAAAATGAGACCAATAATAGCATCCTCCCCCATTAGGGTGCTGAGAATATTTGGAGGGGGAAACACCTAAACTCCCTAGCGGGGTGCCTGGCCTAGAGCTCATGAGGAATGGTGAAGACTTGGGGTGGGACTTCACTTAGCAGGTGAGTTCCATTACCTGAGACCCAAGAATAGCACCGGGTTAGCATGAGCTGCAGGAACCTCCTTGAGATATCTTTGGCCCAAGGAAAGATGGTAGGTGGGAGGCCACCTGCGGAGCCCTCACATGTGCAGCTCGTCTGGGAGACTGGTTATTACCTCCACGCTCCCTCTCTGCATGGAAGCGAGGCTGTGTCCCGCCCTGCACCTGTACTGGTGTCTGCTGCTAATTAAGAGGGAGACAGATGGAGGAAGGGTACGGTTTAATTTTACAGCCCCAGTTCCTTCAAGGCAATTAGACTCATTGGAAGAAAAGCACCTTTTTCTTTCTTTCTCCCTCTTTTTTAAATGAAGAAAAATCAAACAGGAGACGGCCAGTGTTCTTGAGAGGCCAACGCATCTGTTTCCTGGTCTGCCTGTCAGCCATCTGCCCACAGGTACCAGGACCGATTAGGTTAGTGCATTTATTAATGGGGCTTACAAGAGTGTTCAATGAATCTGTTATTTCTTTCACAAGGAGTTCTTTTCATATACTAAGACAGAGGCCATGCTGCACAAAGCAGAGGGTGGCCAGGTAAGCATTTCTTCCCTTTTGTCTTGCTCCAAATCAGAGGAAACCAGAAACACTATGAGAAGGAGATTTCATGAAAACTGCATTTCCACCACCTCATCTCCAGCCACCTCCTTGTTGCTGAAATAATTTTGAAAGTCTGTCTTTGGTGAGCTGTTTCAGTGCCCCAGGCACCCAATCTGTGCCTCACCTCTCTGAAAACACTCGAGTCCTGTAGAGGGAGATGGTCAGACAAATAAATAGGTGTGAGTAATATAATCTTGTCCTGTGGACATTTGATGATTGAAAGCTAGCCTTGCTTTTTTCCCCCTCTAAACAGATATCCTTTCAATTTCTCAGAACTACCATGCTCCTTCCCATCCCAGAGGTTTTGCTGTTGGCATGTATCAGTCATCTACTGCTGCATAACAAATGATTCCAATCCTTAATGGCTTAGTTTTCTGACTCTTTATTGGGATCATGATTAAGGATCAGCTGGGTAGTTCTGATTTGTTCTAGACTTATTGTGGCTCTCTATATTTGGGGTTAGCAAGCAGATTGGCTGATGGCTATATGGTCCAGGATGGCCAGGACTTCTGGCATTTAGCAGGCTGTTGCCTGTGGTGAACATGAGTAACTGGTCTGTGGGTTTCTTAGCCCCCAGGGTGCTGGCCTGGGCTTCCTTCTCCACATAGGGGTGTGGGTTCAGTCCCAGTACCAAAAAAACATAATAGGAAGTCCCTTGAGGACTTAGCAGTTGTACTCCAGAGACGAGGAGGGACAACTGCTCCCAAGTTTCTGGCTTGAGTGTCTAGGTGGTGGGTGGTCCCATGTGAAAGAAAAGGAGGAACCCAAAGAAGAAGAAATATGCATCATGTTGATGTGGTGGTCTCCTTGAGACAGAGATGCCAGTCAATTTTTCCCCCACATTTTTTTCTGGGTGCATTATAGTTGTGCATAATGGTGGGATTTATTGTTACGTATTCAGACATGCATACAATATAACAATACAAGGTGAGATGCCAGTCAGTCTTCCCAGGAGGTGACTGCATAGATGAATGTGGAAATCTAAGAGAACTCTTCGGGCATTGTTCTGTTGAAGGCATGTGGCATTCAGGAAAGCAGGAAGATGGGCTTCTAGCCCAGCTCCTGTGTTAACTTGTGCCATCCTGAGGGTTTCTAACATTCAGGAATTTGTGCTTCTCACATTTTTAGTTGCAGACTCTAAGATTCCTTTTGATTTGTGCATATTTTACCTTCAAATAGCTCTAGAATTGGGGGAAAGGGGACTTTTCTCTTCAAAGACTATTAAGGCTATTTGCATAACAAGTAAACCCACCTACAACTGTAGTAAGCCTGAAGTTGACAGGCACTTCCTGGGGTGTTGTGCTGAGGAGTGTAAGCAGACTTAGTCTTACCAGGAAAGAGCTCTCTGTGATCAATGAGTGATGTCTGCCCCATCACAGAGGTAGCAAGTGAGGGACTTGGGGGATTTAAGCTTCCCCTCTGTGTTCTTTCAAAAGCATCAAATGATGTTTATCGGACTTGGTTTCTACCCTGACACGTACTAGCCACAGGTAACCTTAGTGAAGTCCCTCACGTGCCTGAGCTTGACACTTCCCTCACTTATCAAGCAGGGGGAATAATCCCCATCTTTTCTAATTTTCTCATTGAATGGACCAAATGAAAAAAATATGGAACTGGTATGATCTCCATTAACTGATATGAAGTCACACCTGCGATACCATGGGGCATTGAACATGTCAATGAAGGAGCCCAAACGGTTCTGGCTTCCAGAGAGAGATAATTCGAAAAGTTTACTGTTCATAAATTAATTTAAAAAAGTAGAGAATCTTATGATGTAAAAAAATTACAAGAAGGGCTGGGGTTGTGGCTCAGTGGTAGAGTGCTTTCCTCACATGTGTGAGGCCCTGGGTTCGATCCTCAGCAACACATAAAAAAAATAAGTAGATAAAATAAAGATATAAAAAAATTACAAGAGAAAATAAAACAAAAGGGGGGTGGTCTCATAACATCATCAAATAAATAAGGAAAGAAAGAAAAAGAAATAAGGAAGGAGTGGTCAATCTGTGCAGGAGTGTGGTGAAATTGGGTGGAAATAAGCACAGCTCTTGTAGAGTAGTTGGCAACGTGGTCAAGAGTCTTGAGTTTGCACTCTCTGACCAACTTGCTTCCACTTGGGTAATCCAGATTAGGGGTCAGCCAACTCTTTCTTAAAGTGCTGGATAGTAAGTATTTCAAGGTCTCCAGGCCATGTCTGCCACAAGTCCTCAGTGCTACCCCAGCGATAGCAGAATAGAAGCAGCCGTCCACAGCACAGATGTGAACAGGTGTGGCCTTGTTCCCAGTGAGACCTCATTTATGTGAACAAGTGGTCATTGGATTTGTTGGCATCCAGTGGGGTCACGGTTTGCCCATCCTTGATGTAAATTAAGAAAATATTTTTAGAATTATTCTAAATTTAAAAATACTCAATATAAAGAGAGGTTTAGGCCCAAAGGGTCTCATCTCAGCCTTACTTGTAATAGAGAATTACGGGTGAAGCTTCAATGTCCATCAGCAGGGGCATTGGCTGATTTTCATAGTTCCATTTGAAATCACGCAGCCTTCAAATGCTGCTCATTGCTGTGACGGGAGGGAGAAGCACCTGCTAGGATGGTGCATGGGGACCTGAAGCGGTCGTGGTGATGACAAGATGATAATGGCGGTGGCTCACATCTAAGTGCCTACACATGTCAAAGCACTGAACCCTCCAAATAAATACTTCCTCAGTCTTACCACTTTCCTCGCGCAGAAGCTGAAGGTAATAGAAGTTGACTTAGCCAAAGTGACACTGCCTTATTGGTGGCAGAGCTGGGATTTGGCTACAAGTCAGCTTAATGCTAATAGCAACCAAACCAACCACATACAATCCAAAATTATATTATAATATATAATTATAAACTCCATTGATTAAAACCACTGGAGGAGGACACAGCCCATGGTGGATTGAGGCTATCCTGAGCAGTAGATGATGGACAGGAATATTTCTCAGCATGTTCCATATTTTTCTTAACGAGAATGTATCGTTTTAACAATGAAGAAATGATGCTGGGATGTCATAGGGAAGCCAAAAATGGCGGAAGGCCAGGTGGGACTGTGGGAGGAAGAGCGTTGGTTTGGGAGGCTCTAGAGAGCCCCCCGGGCACGTCTTTGACCCTTGGTCCTGCTCTTGTTTGTGACGTGGACAGTCACTCTGTCTTGTTCCAGGTGCAGCTTCTATGGTGTCTCTCTGTGCTGGTCCGTTCTCAGGCCTTTCCCGGGTTGACCTGCTAATGATCCCTAACTGTCTCTCTCCTCTCTCTCCCTCTCCCTGCCCTCTCGTCCACCCATCCCACTGTACAGCTGACAAGGTCAATGATGACTTCTACTCCAAGCGACGGCACCTGGCCGAGCTGGCCGCCAAGGGGAACTTACCTCTGCACCCCGTCCGAGTGGAGGATGAGCCCCGGGCCTTCAGCCCTGAGCACGGTCCCGCCAAGCAGAACGGACAGAAGTCCCGAGCCAACAAGATGCCCCCCCACCCCCTGGCCTACAACTCCACCACCAACTTTAAGGGCTGGGAGCCCGGCGAGCAGTCTCTCCGGCGGCAGGCTTACAGCAACAAGGGGAAGCTGGGCACGGCCGAGACAGGGTCCAGCGACCCCCTGGGAACTCGCACGCAGCACTACCCACCCACACAGCCATACTTCATCACCAACAGCAAAACGGAGGTGACTGTCTGAGCTGTCACTGCAGGGAGTACCCTGGAGACCACACTCAACTGAGAGAGGCAAAAAATCACCCTGGCCCATGCCCTCCCCTTCCTCCCCACAAGCACCCACACACTCACCTTCTGCAGGAACCAGGGACGGACCTCCTGGGGACACAGATCACGCTTTTCCTGGGTCATGCCTACACACGTGCCGGCGGGCAGCTGAGGAAGACAGGAGCATGGACACCCAGCAGCACAGCAAGGAGAAACTGAGGCCCACTCTCAGCTTCGCACCAAGGTGGCCAACTCACGTGCCCACACTGAGGGGCTGATTTTTCTTTCCCTCCTAACTTGAAACTGAAATCCATGATGAAGAAATCATATAAGTAGCACAATTTAGAGAAATTGTCCATTTGAGCACACACATATACCATTAGCCACCTGCCGTCTGTTTCCAGGTAAAGGGGGTGGGTAAAGGAAAAATGAGGGTGAGCATCGGAGAAGAGTGCACTTCAGAAGAGGAGCTATTCTGGGAGGAACTTGCCCACATTAGGAGCATTTTCTAATCCCAAGAGGTGAGGGGTCACAAAGTGGTGATGGATGTGAGACCCTATCTGGACCCCCATCATTATGTTGATAGGACTTTTCATATCATTGATGTCAAAAGCAAAAAAATAACAACAACACACTCAAACTCACAAAAAACAAAAACAAACAAACAAACAAAAAAACAAATAGACCCTGAACCCCCCCTGCAGTGATGGGAGGGAAAGAACCTTTTGGAGAGCTCCCATAAAGACCGTGACCATGGAAATGGGAGGGCAGGCAGAGGGTCCAGAGGGTCCAGAGGGTACTGCATAACAACTTTTTTAAAAAAGACAGATCAAATGCAAGCCCACTACAAAACAGAACACGATATCCATTTTTGTCCCCCATCTTCAAGACTTAAGAAGTCGGTAATGACATCAGCAGCAACATCAAAACATCCACAGTGGGGAAAGTCTATTGGAGGTGAGATGAGCACCCAGAAGCCTCTGATTTCCGGTGTTTCTCCCTCACTTCCAAGACCTGAAACAGCCACAGAAACAAATCCTCTATTAACTGCCTGTCCCGAACCTTCTTCCCCTTCAGAGCGTTGCCGCCACCGCTGCGAAACTTCAACTGCTTTGGACTGAAACGTCATAAGCGTGGGGTGCCTTCAATGTGTTGCTGTTGTTCAATGACAGTCTTGTTTCCCAAGTGCAACCTGTGTTCTTTCAGCCCCACTCCCTCCTGTTTTTCTGCAGTAGTAGAAGATGTTTCCATCCTTCCTTTGTAGGTGAGCCCAACCCATAACACCCATCAAGGGGGCTGCTGCAATGTCAGGGGTACCTAAGGACACTCCCAAACTCCTACGGTCCCTCCAAATTGCCTGCCCATGTACTTCAGCACCTTGAGTCCCTCACCCAGAATTCCCTGGTTCAGATCGGTTCTCGGTTCTCGTAGCCAAGAGAGCCCTTGGGTGTCCCAACAGTTTTCCTAACAGTTTTATTTATCTTGTGGAAGTCCAAAGAGGTGCATGGAGGGAGAAGAGGGTTTCATATTAAATGAAAGGTTTTCCACCAGCCCCTAAAGATCTTAGCAGATTAATTAACAAGAGCCTCCAAAAACCCCACGAGATCTTCTCAGAGGAGAATCAGCATTTCCTGCCATGATCTGCCTCCCCTGTCTCTCCGCCCTGGCGTCATGGAATCAGCACAACCGACATTGATTCTCCTCGCTCCCAGCAGATATTAGGACACTGATAATGTTTTTGATCTCTCTCGTTCTTAGTCCTGCATGGAAACATGGGGAATTGAGGCTAGGTCAAGCTTTGTAAGCTTTTTGAAATGGAAAAACCTGTGCCTATTTTTAAAAATGAAATCTTGCAAAGAGCCCACTGTCTGAGACTCCCGTGTACAAAGAGGCGCAGTGCAGGAGGTGACAGAGTCAGAGCCCCTCCATGCCGACATTCCAGCACTCTCCAGGGTACAGTGAACCCGCTGGGCATGGTCACTATTTTTTTTTTTTTTACACTTTGGTCAGCTATGTACCTGCAACAACCCGTTGGCAACTCTGCACACCACAAACACAATATCTGTCTCTAAATTGATTCAATTTTAATTACATGTCCTTTTTAAAAGGACAGTTTCCTGGCTTTATCACAAACAGAAAACTGGCACCAATTGCCACAAATAGGAAGTAAGCATTAAAATAAATGCACAGGAAAGAATGCAGTGTTGATTAAATCCTAGCTAAATGCTGGTTCAAACCCCAGAGCCTGGTGCAGCCTCTCTCTCTCTCTCTCTGATAAAGAGATGAGGAGACATTCGGGTTGTTTTATATACCGGCCCCTGCTGGAGGCTTTCTGTGGATTAATCAGATGGGCTGAAAGGTGAAGGAAAAGGAAATTCTTCCCTATGTGAGTCCATGGCAGATAGTGCTGTGTCCATCCGTGGGCTGCCCACAGTCACTTTGCCTGTTCTGGTGGGACACTGCCCACACTTCAGGAAATGCTGGGCTGGCTTTTCCGTGAGGTTCCCACCATCTCAGAAGTTCTGTGATTCTTGTCTCCCTTCCGGCTGACCTTTGCTCTTTGCCCTCGACCTTATCCCAGTGGTGATCATGTTCCTTTCTGGACTCCTGAACCAAGAGCATCTTATTTTTCCTTTACGCTCTGAAAATGGAGTAAACTTCATCCAGTGAACTTGGCTCCTTGGGGTCCACAGTTGTAATTTAGACAGCAAAGAGCAGCCTGGCCAGTCAGATGTGGCTGTGTGGAAAGCTCAAGAAGGACAGGTGCTTCCTAAGCAGTACTGTCCAAGAAGGACGCCCAGGAGGCACTTGTGTCCCATCGCCTTGCAGGTGGCCTTGGGGGATGAATGGAGGAAAGTTTGCACAGGGAAGGTCTGTTCATTCTTTGGCTTCCTCTTGGATGTGGGGAGACAGACCTCATGATACCGAGAGAGAGAGGGTGACCCATGGAACTCTCTCTGACAGCCATGTACCAAGTCAAGGATCCTATAGCTAAGGCGGGGAGAGGCCTAAAAGAGGAAAACCAGATCAAAAGGGAGGATCTCCTCATCCCATGCCCTGCCACTAACCTCTCCTTCCTTTCAGCTGTCCCCAATTCCCAACCCAACGGGACCAGAGTCTGGCTTCCCTTTGCCTTCCCAGCGCTCCCCGGTGTCCATTCGCCTTGGGCCCCCCCTTGCAACCCCCATCTAACCCCCCCCCCCCCGGTTTTTTGTGTAAATGGAGCATATTTTATGTGCAAATATTTTAGTAACCGTATGTTCTGCAAGTAAACCTGTGTTAATACTTGTCACAACTGCAGAGTTTATGATACCAATAATACTTCCTACAATGAAGAAAAAAGAACATTTGTTTGTTTTCTAAGAATGTTTATTTGTAAACATATGTATTCACTATATTAATATGAATTTCTTACCTGGCAATAAAACTGATTATATGTGATGCTGTTGGCGTTGCCACGTATCTTTCTAGGTCCCTACATCTTAATCTGAGTTTATACCAGGAAATATCAGTACTCGCATACACGGCTAGGTCTTACTACTCAGAATGTATGGGGACCACTGCTCGTAAAGGGAATCTCTAGTTAACAGTACTCATACAAATTTCCCAGGAGGCTGATGCTTTTTTTGGTAAGTGTGTCTTAGTTCACTTTCTTGCCTTAAAAATATATATTTCACTGCTAGGTTTCCTTGTCATTCCTAAGTGAATCTTCATGGCCAAGAATCTTGCTGAGTTTGGGACTTTTGTTTTTACAGGAATGTAGAAGATACAAATATTAAAAGGAAAGGAAATTGGGTTCTCCTATTTATTAAATTTTATTTCTCTCCTGTCCTCTGTTAGCATTGAACTTGGAAATTTCAGGTAGAAATAGCTGTCAGAATATAGTTCCCCAGAGAGAGGCTCTGAAAGCAGGATCGGAGTGCAAGTCTTTTATTTAACAAGGGAAAGGAATACTGGGAGGGGTTGGGGGGAGGCAATAAAGAAGGAGAGCAGTCAACAGAGGGCACCTTTTTAGGTCAGCTATCACTGTGGGTGGCTGGGGTTTAATGCTGCAGGAAACTTTGCAAGAGGACATTCATCACATGCTCTGAATTATCCTGCCCAAGTGTGATGGAGTTTCCAGGGACCATTAATATGCATGCATTCCTAGACCCTCAAGGGCAAGGTCAGAGATATTGTCTCAGTGCTAGGATGCCCAGGATGCTCTCTTCCAGCCCTCCAGAGCTGTTCAGGGTGGAGTCACTAACCAGGACACGTGGCCCTACAGAGGCAGATGTAAGATAGAGAATTACACCTTTGTGTGTGTGGTGGGGGCCACATGGCTCCTCTAATGAAGTCACCCAGTTGCTTATGCTCCTAAGCAACAATGACAATCGTGGGAAGCATATCTGCAGGACCAAACATTGCTAGAGAGAGTCGACATTGAATCCTCACCACGTGAGAAGGTAGGTACTGAGATGCTTTGGAGATGCTGTTTAGAGATCTATTTAAAATTTGAGTAATTCATTCAAATGGACTCAACCTGTAAGTGGTGGAACTGGGATTCAAACTCCTGAGCTTACTCTGTAACTGCCCTGCCCATGGTTCTCACTTAAATGAGCACATGGGCCAGCGTGGAAGCTTGATGAACATGCTGACCCCTGAGCTCCCCTACAGAGATTCAGATGGCGCATGTCTAAACTGGGCCCCCAAATCCAGAGTTGGCAACACTCTCCCTGCCATTGCATGCAGTGGCTCTGTGCCCTGCCCTGAGACACATTGTTCGAGCTGCATGGCTTCAACCCCTGTAGGCTCATCCCGAGGATCTTGGGTGCAAAAGGAGTGCTACAGTGAGGTGCCACAGCAGGGGACCCTCACCCTTTGGCTTCATGTTCAATGTCGAAAAGTTATGTCCTATAGTGACCAGAAGAACTGACCCTGGAAGACCTGGAGGGTGGACTTGATTCCTACACCCAGGTTCCATGTCCCTGGGGGTCT